TGCTGAATGTGTGTGTCGGGGGTGACACAGTGAAGGCGGCATTTTACCCGCAGTTTGAGGAAGAGTAGGTGTTGCTTGAGCTGAGACTTAAAGATGACTAGGTCTTCACCAGGTGGAATGTGATACCCTAGGGGAAGGGACAGCGCGAGGACGGCGTGTTCAGCGCAGAGTGGGTTAGCATGCTGAGCGAGGGAAGTGCAGCCTCGTGAGAGGTGAGGTTCTTTCAAGTCATGCCAAGGACTTAAGGCTTTATTCTGGGGCAAGGAGGTCTCCAAATTAGCTTTTATGCCTAGTTATGAAATTCTGAGCCAGTCTGCTCTGTTTTCATCCAGGTGGCATGTGAAAACCAGAGTTTAGTAAATGACAAGGTATGGTATGAGAAGTGACCATCACCTTTTCCCCGAAATGCTTCGGAGCAACCCTCTGCCTGTCACCTGCCCATCTACTAGGTTTGAGCCACCCTCGGGACAGCACGATGGCAGGTTCAGCTGGCCTCCAGGCCACAGTCCCTTTCCATCCCTGTCACTGACCCCCCTGGGCAGTCTGTATGCATTTAACCGTTAGGTAAATGCCTCTGAGACTTGGTTTCTGTAGTGTGAAATGTAGATAATTATACTTATATTCGTGAGCCTCGTGGGACTTCTTAATATTTATAGCTGCAAAATACTTTGCAGTCATTTTTATTAATAGTTACCAGATGTGTCATAAGGATTAATGAACTTATGATCCGCAGTGTTTTGAGCTCTTGAGATCGGAGACAACAGCCCGCACGGGGGATATGTAAAAGAGCATTAAAGTGCAAGCAGCACCATTTGGAAGTGTGAGCTGTTACGTGTGAAGGACAGATGACACTCTGAAGATTTCAGTGCACTTTGTAGGTACTTTCGTACCCTTACTAAGGTTGCTAAATTCACCGAAGGCTATGGCCAAATACAGAAGGCTGGTACCCCCTCCCTTGCACTCCTCCCCCCCATGATCGTGCACACGCACAGGTGCGTGTGCACACTCTTTCTGCTGAGGCCACCGTCACCCTCGCCCTGTCGTCCCTTCTTCCTGGGCACTGTCTTTCGCTCTCCCCCCGGTTTCCAGGTGTTCAGGAGTCTCCTTCATATCTCTAAATTTTCATTTCTCTTTCCTTTTCCTCTTACGATCCAAGTGCAGGCTCTTATGTTATTGGCTCTCCGCTGAGCCATTGAAGCCGCTGCTTAATTGACCTCTCCAAGTTTTCTGTCTGCCCTCTTTAGGGGTAATCTCCTGTTAGCCTAATTCTTATGGCCGCTTCATTCAGTACCTTTGATAGTTCTTCATTGCCTGTGAAAATCCACCATAAATTTACACACAAGGCCTCCTCTGCACACCCTGACCTCCATTGCCTCTGCCCAGCACTGGTCAGTCTAGATCATCCTCTCTCTCCTAAGACCTCCTGGAAGGTTGAGTAGCTTTTCCTGGGCAGGGAAGTGAGGAGGGAACACTGCCAGACGCAAAGGGTAGCCTGCCTTTGTCACGCCGCTCTTCACGTTCGAGGTGTCCCTCAGCTGTGGGAAAAGCCATTCCGCCTTCAAGCCCTGTCTCACAAGTGAAATCACCCTCATGGAGGTGTTCTAGGCCTGGTCCCAGGATGACCCCTTCCTCCTCAGAATCTCCTCTGCTTTGAAACTGTCATTCTGATAGCTGTCATTTTCCTTGACGTTTTTGTTATTCGCATACCGTCCTTCCCCCAAACTGGATTGCTGCCTTGTTGCGAGTGAGCCCGTATTCTTCAGGTCTTTGTGTTCCCACGGCGCTATTGCAATGCCTTGTACGCCTGAGACCTGAGTCCTTGTTGAGCTAAGTTTATACATTGAAGCAGAGCCCCAGTTAAGTTCATCATGTAGGGCAGTATTATGGGAAAATTTGAAATATACAGAAGTAGAGGGAATATTCCAGTGAATCCCTAGGTACTCAGCACCTAGCTTCCACAGAAAGCAGTACGCGGCCAGTCCTGCATGTCTGTGCCCCTGCCCTCTTTAGCATGTCCCTTGCTGGAGAAGTATCCACCTGTGGTCGCCTCTTGTCCAGAGTTGGTATTTGGCAACCACTGCTACCTAGCACCCCTTGGAGGGGACACCCCGAAGTTACCAGTGTGTGAAGCGAAGTGGGTGTGGTCAAAGTACCGTGAAGTTGCACTCAGGACCCACTCAGACCTGATGTGATCTTATTGTTGACACGGCTTTCAGCCTTTTCAGGTGTGTCTAATCATCCAGTGTCTGGTTCTCATGTCATCTGAATGCTGGGGGTGGGGCAGGCATCTCTGTGGAGCAGATCTGTTGCCTGATGGAGAAGTGGTTGTTGAGAATGAGTGATGGTCAGGGGTAGACTCGAAGTCTTCAGCTTAGTAGCCTGGAGCCACAGAGCCTCGGCCAGGGGCCCTGCCCCACCAGGAAGCCCCGTGGGTCCACTGGATTCCAGCATCGCGTCCCAGTCAAGCTGGCCCTTTAATTCATTTCAGCAGATCCTTTTCCAAACATTTACTGGATTTTTTAAATCACTCTGAATCATAAAGAAAAGTATCAATTATGTTTCCATGCTCCGTTCAGGAGGACAAGAATCTTAGAAAATCTTTCATCCTGGGTGGCTATAGTTCCATTCTTGGTGGGATTTTTACCTTTTTATGCCTTAAGGGAGAATGTTTTACACCAATCTTGTCGGTTTTAAATAAGATCTAACTGAAGAATGTAAGTATTTTGGAGTTCCAGCTTAACAAACTTTTTTCTTTCCTTACTGAGAATTATGCTCTGAACACCTTTCCATTCGTGGGGGACTTCAGACACTATGGGGAAAATACAAATAAAGGGAGTAGGCCGTGCACTGAAGGACTGTAAGACAGGGTGAAGGGTACGTGCTTGAAGTGGAGAACCCCTGAAAGGGAGCGGGGAGCACGGGGCAGGTGCAGGAGGGTGGGAGGGAGTGATGTGAGCCCGGCGGGGGGCGGGGGGTCCGTGGCGTTGCCGCCAGCGGGCGTCCTCCCTCATTCTGTGCTGTTGCCTGCTCACACCGGCTCTCTTAAACACACGTCTGATCCTCGCTCTCCCTGGCCTTCAACCCCGAGGAATTCCCCAGTGTTTGCAGGGTAGAGTACGTCTTCCTTTCCTTTATCCCTAGGTCCTCCCATCTGTTTAGCTGGATCTCCTACCATCTCCTATTTAATCGCCTCTCCTCTGTGCTTTTGCCCAAATCCTGTTGCTGGTCCCTCACCTCTACAAAATTAATCCCTTCTAGCACTTTTCTCCCAAAGGCAGTCCCAGGGCATAACTGGTTGTAGCGGTACCTTTGCTGAAACGCGATTGTTTGGTGTGTGAACACAGCAGATCGACACCTACCCTCAGTGGGCCATCTTGTTGCAGGTGGGCTCTTCTCCCTTCAATTAAGAGTCTGGGCTGCCAAGTAGGAAGCAAGACTTTGGCCGTCAGCCTTCGTGCCTGCAGACTGTCTGGGGAGTCGTGACAGCAGAGGCCCCTGGGCCCCCAGATGCACCAGAGACCTGGGAGGGCCTGGAGTGCTCAGGGCCAGAGGAAGGGACCTGGAGGGATCTCCGGGCAACTTAGATTAGATAGTAGATCAGTGAGCCAGCAAGAGAAGAGACACGCGTAACTCCATGGTAACAAACTCCGAGACCCAATTTTGACTCCTTCTGTGAGACAGGACTGCGGGTAGGTGTTCATTTTGCCAGGACGGAGCCCTCTTAGAGGCGAGGTCCAGACTTGTGTGTCGGAGCAGGCAGGCCTGGGAAGGGGCCAGACGTTGGTTGAGAGAATAAAGGCGGATGTGGTGGACCCCGGGCTCTTCGAGATGACCGCGTCTGCTCTGTGCCCTTCCCCACCTGCTGCGGTGAACTCAGCAGCTACCAGCTCCTCCTTTGAGGTCTGTTTTCCTCATCCTGGGGCTTGTTTTTGTTTTTCTTTATTTTTGACTGCGTTGGGTCTTCGTTGCTGCGTGCAGGCTTTCTCTAGTTGTGGCGAGCAGGGGCTACTCTTTGTTGTGGTGCACGGGCTTCTCATTGCGGTGGCTTCTCTTGTTTTCAGGCACGGGCTCCAGAGCAGAGGCTCAGTAGCTGTGGCACGTGGGCTCAGTAGTTGTGGCACGCGGGCTTAGTTCCTCCGCAGCATGTGGGATCTTCCCAGGGCTCGAACCCATGACCCCTGCCTTGGCAGGCAGGTTCTTAACCACTGTGCCGCCAGGGAAGCCCCCTAGTTTTTGTCTTTTTTTTTTTTTTTTTTTTTACTCTCTCTTTTTGTAAATGTTCCTTGAACCACGTGTCCATAAGCAGCCTACTCCGTTCTTGTGATGTCACTTGTGCCCATTAACTCAGGCTCTCGTCACTCACCCCTGCTCTGTTGCTGGAGCCTGTGATTGGCCTGCCTCACTCTTGCACTGTTTCTCCAGGCAGCCTGCCTTCCGCCAGCAGGTCGGTCTTCATGTCCTGCCCTCTCTGCCCACGCGTCGCAGGGGTCCTTACCATTGCCCAGGAGCTTTAGTTCAGACCCCAGAGCCTCTGTCCACATCCCTGTCCTGCTGTGCCTCGTGCTCCAGCCACACTGGCTTCTGTCCCCCTTGCTTCCTGTGACGGCACTGCCTGTGATCCTCTCGACCAGGAGTTTCCCGGGCCAGTGAAGTCCTGTAACGCTTGTATGTAGAGACGCAGCCCTTGGCTAACGTGTGCCGTGCGAGAGTGGAGAGAGCACACCACACACCTTACTGTCTTCAGCACGTGTCTGGTGTTGCCAGCTGGGCACGAGCAGCTGGCTGAGTTCCCGGCTTCTCATGTTTCCTCTGCAGCGTCCCGACCCCAGCCCCGGGCAGGCCTGCTAGGCAGTGACTTGTTAGAATTCCTGAAAGTTGTAAAAGTTCGCTTTGTGTGGGTCATCCTGACAGCCCTCCTGTCTGTTCAGTTGAAATCTTCTCTGGTTATTCTGTTCTGCTTCCCCTGATCCCTGTGTCCACCTGTTCCCTTGTTTCCTCAGCCCGTGCCTCGAATCATGGTGCAGTCAGCCCTCCCAGATGCCGGCATGCCCAGGATGGTGGAGGTGAGTTAGTCGGGCCTGGTGGCGCCTTTGCTGGTGGCTGCCCCACATACCGTGGGTGGCCCCGATGCTATAATTGTTGAGTCCACACCCGTGGTTTTTTATTTTAGCATTCCCGTTTTGATAATGAACTATAATGTAGGTCACCGTCTTCTCCCTCTACATTTTGCTTGTTACACTTTTCTGTTTTCAACTTGTTAATTATATGATTGCTAGACTTTTAGGTGCTTGACTGCTAATGTAGTCTGTGGCTTTAATAGCCCACTGCTAGGTAGAGGCGATTTCTATAAACAGAACAATCTCCTTATTCCAAGTGTTGACTAAATTCTCAGTTTTACATTTCATTCTGATTCATGATATCAGCATGAAAAGACTGATGCTAAGCTGGGGAGAATATAGTCTCTTATGATCTCCCACAGATGAACAGCACTTCTGATCTTATGAATAGCAAATCTCTTTTCTCCCACTGTGTGTTCATCCTCTTAGGAAATGCGGTATCGTCATAGGAAAATTTTATTTATTAAAACAATAGGAAAAGAGGCCAAATAATTCGAAAGAAAATTTAGACGTTCAAGAATTTACTACTTTCTGAACAGCCCTTTGCAATGCAGGACATCCTTGGTGTTCACGAATTTAACTGAAGATAGAGCTGTGACACCCACCGCCCCCCCCAGCCCCCTATGAGTTGGGTTTATTATTTCTCGGAGGCAGGACTGGGGTCCCAAGGCCGGTGGGGCAGAATGAGACGGAGTCCCTTACGTAAGGGCGCTGCCTTGCGAGCTCTGCGCAGCTTTGCTGCACATCCCGCTGGCTCGCTCAGCATCCTGCTGGCTCACTCGCGTCCGGGCTTTCTGGCAGCCTTAGGAATGTCAGTGGCAAAGTGTAACCCAAAGACGCAGGGAGGTTCTCATTCACATAGCAGCTCCAGTCGAGTGGGAGCGGCTGCCACAGCGCCGAAGCGGAAGGATCTGAGCTGCGCTCGGTCAGCAGGAAAGAACGGGGGTTATCTGGGCTCGCCTTTTGCCGCCTCCCATCACCTTTTTCTTGTCGCTGTGGACGTGACCTCTGATCCCTGGCTTTTCACTTACTGGAGCCTTTGGGTGAATCCTTTAGCCTCTCTGGGCCGTGTTGTAAAGCGAGTACTTTCTGGCCCACATCAGAGGATCCAGTAGCGCTGATGGGGGAACAGCAAGGAGCTCTAGGGCACTGTTGCAGGACTGTCCCCCTCCGGACGGGCCCAGCTGCCCTTAGCAGACAGCAGATCCGGCAATGGTGGGTTGGACCCTGGGAGAGTGGGGAACACAGGCTATTTAAGGGCCATAGTTATTGTTCAGATTCTAGACTGTTGTAATTTTGTTTGCGTATTCTTCCCTGCCCAGTCAGTGATATTAAAACTAAAATAGAAAAGAGTAAATAAAATATGTACAAGTTGCAGAAGAAAAATGATTGAAGGATTGCCTAATCTTTTAGAGTATTTATGCTGGTGACAGTTATTGATCTATTGGATTTAGTAAATTTTGCAGCCCAGAGATCCATCACAAAAATGGGTTGTTAATCTCAAGAGGTGCTGTTAATTTTGTACCCTGAGAGTGTGCCTTGTGGGGGAAGGAGGGCCTCTGGAGACAGGAATATAAATGACAATTCACGTGAAAATGCACGATTTATCAAATTGCTGAGTTAAGCCAAGTAACTGTAAGAGACTTATAGATCTCAGCTGTTTCCCAGTTCAAATAAATCCTGTATTTCAAATGGAAAATGGCCATTCTCGTAATATAAATAATCTTTCTGTAAATATTGAAAACACATTTCTTTTTCTGAGCAGCACCCCTCTCGCCCCCCAACCCACTCCCCACTCTGTCTCCTGTTCCCTGTCATTGTGCACTGGGAATAGAAAGATAATCCGCCACCTTCTCCCAATGGCTTAAGTTATCAAGGCAAGACACCTTAGAGCGCGCCAGAAACCGCAGAGCTCGGCGCGGCCGCGACTGTCGTCTTCCCCAGGAGATGGGGCTCTGCGCGTCTCTGCAGGCTCCCTCGGACCAGGTGACGTGAGGCGGAGAGGCCAGCGTGGCTCTGGCCTCGCTCAGGCCCTGCTCGCCGGGCTGGCTGCTCCTCGGCCTGAGTCTCCCGGGACCAGAGGGACCATCTGTGACATGGGACCAGCCTTGAGCAGCAGCTTGAAAGACGGCCTCTCAGAGGAAGGGCACAGCCTGCAGGCAGCCTCTGTTCCTCCTCTTCCCCCTGCCTCCCCGCCCGCAGGCCCCAGGGTTGTTGCTTCCTGCCCGAGCTGGTGGAGCTGTGCCCTGGCACTTCCAGATCCTCCAGTGAGACCATCATTTCAGTTTTGCAGGAGGAAAGTGCTCTTCTGGCCTCCGGCGATGCTGCCAGTCTCCCCGTGGAGCTGGTATTGGGCAGGGGGATCCGTTCACACGGGGGCAAGAGTTCTGAGCCTGAGTGCAGGGAAGTGGGAGGCGCTGGGAGGTGTGCGCCTGCTGTGTGCCACGCTCTGTGTGAGGGCCTGGTCTGCCTACCTTGTACCGCATCGCCGAGGTGGCCGCCCCGTACGCGTTGTTCCCACCACCAAGCGATTCTCGGACACCAGCTGTGTGTCCTACAGTTAACTCGGCTTCTGACCCCATCTACTTGGAGACAGTGTCAGATGCCACAGGTTGAGGGCTCAGCCCCACAATACTGTCCCCACTTCAGATGCCAAGTCCAGTGTGCTCCAGATCAGAGGGTCCCATGACCCCTTCCTCAGGTTGAATGAATTTGCTAGAGTGACTCACAGAACTCAGAGAAACATTTTATTTACTAGATTATCCATTTATTATAAAAGGATGTAACACAGGAACAGCCAGCTGGGAGAGATGCGTAGGGGAAGGGTGGGGAGCTTCCACGCTCCCTGGGCACAGCGCTGTCCCCAGATTGCCACGCGTTCACCAACCCAGAAGCTCTCCAAACCCTGTCCTTTTGGGTTTTTACGGAGGCCTCATTGTGTAGGCATGGTTGATTCAATCATTGGCCATTGGTGATCGGTTCAGCCTTCAGTCGCTGCCCAGAGGTCAGGGGTGGGATGGAAAGTTCGAATCCTCTAGTCACATGGTTGTTCCCCCTGGCAACCAGCCCCCTTCCTTGGGGGCTTTCCAAAAGTCATCCCCTTAACAAACTCAGATGTGGTTGAAAGGGCCTCGTTATGAGTATCAAGAAGCCCTTATTGTTATTGCCACTTAGGAAACCCCAAGGGTTTTGGGAGTTCTGTGCCCGAAAACAAGACTAGGACCAAATATGGAACTCTTACTAGAAATGATGCCATCACAGGCAGCTGTTAAGATCTGCAGTTTACGGAAAGGAGAGGCGATGAGGGGCACCCGTGGCCGTCTTGCTTAGCCCTCAGTCGCAGCAGGGGCAGCGCCAGCGTGGAGCCTAGTCGGCCTGCGTATCTGGTTCATGGAGGTCGCACGGCAGAACAGGGGAGCTGAGGTGGGAACCGGGTCCGCCCTGCTGCACGGCTGCGCTTGTCCCACCGTTGGAGCTGTCATGTCCCCGCTGACAACAGCATTGGTCTCCAGGCTTTGGGGAGCGGACGCCTAACTGTGAATTCTCCCCTCCCTGCTCCAGGCTCAGCGAGAGAGCGCGGGGCTGCGCGTGGCCTCCGACGTGCCCGTGGCCTTGCCGGCCGCCCCCTCGCCCAAGACCTACGACGGGCCCCCGAGACCCGCGCCCACCTCCCCGGCCCCCGAGGGCGCGGATGGGCCGCCCAGCCCCCTGAGCGAGGCGTCCAGCGGCTACTTCTCGCACAGTGTCTCCACTGCCACCCTGTCGGACGCCTGCGGCCCCGGCCTGGATACCGTGGCATTGCCCTCTCCTGGCCCCGGCCCGGCCACCCCCGAACCCGAGCCCCCGGCCGCGCCCGTCATGTCCCGCGCCCCTCCCGGCCCGGCGGAGCGAATGGCGCAGGGAGACGGCGCGGCCGCGGCCCCTGTCGGGGCTGCAGCGGTGAAGCGGGACGAAGCGGCAGGTCCCCCCGCGCCTGACCGGCGGGGCAGGAGTGACCCTGCCGCCGCCCCCCAGAAGGCGGAGAGCCCCCAGCCCCAGGCGAAGCCGGCCGCTGGCCCAGGGCCCGACGTCTCCAGGCCGCCGGCACCTGCTGACCCTCGGTGCCAGCCGCCCGCTCCGGCCCCTCCCTTCAGGATCCAGAAGGTGCGGACCTCGGAGCTGAAGTCATTCACACGCATGCTTGGCGGGGACCCCGGCGGCCCCTCGGGGAGCGAGGAGGATCCGCTGGCCTCAGGGGGCCCGGGCGACGGCAGCGCCGGGGCAGAGGCCCCGGGAAAGCTGGAAGTCTCCTCGGATTCTGAAGAAGCCAGTGAGGTCCCAGAGTGGCTCAGAGAGGGAGAATATGTGACCGTGGGCACCACCAAGACGGGCATCGTGAGATACGTGGGGCCCACTGACTTCCAGGAGGGCACGTGGGTCGGAGTGGAGCTAGACTTACCTTCAGGTTAGTGCTGCTGCTTTGGGACAGGTTCCGGGTCCCGGGGCGACTCACCGTGCCCCCCGTGGTCGGCCCTGCCCCTCACTGCCCAGCGCCTGCTGTGTGCCCTTGGGCACATCGTTCACGTCTCTGAGCCCCTGGGTCGCCACTTTCCAAATTGAAGAATTTTGTCTAGATAAGAGTTTCCTAAGCGTTTTCAGAGTCAGATTCTCTTTTTTTTAACCTGCAGAAATTTCTCAGAAACCAAAGACCTTAATTGAAAGCTACTCTTAATTTGGTGAATTTAAATCCTGATTTTTCTTTTTTAGGCACAGAAGCGTCTGCATTTCAGTTGTCACAGCAGCTCTGTCTGCTGTGCTTGCTCAGGTTACAAAAACCAATGCCCATGTGGAGCTTCAGATGCCTCAGGTGTTCCTAAGACACCCCAGGGCTCCTGGGCCCCCAGGGGGAGGACAGAAGGCGAGGTGATCGAAGAGCCTCGTGGGCTCACCAGTCTCTTAAGTCTCCTTATAGAATGGCCTACCTCCAAGCCAAGAGATCATCATTTCAGAAAAACTGAGGGCAGGACTTAAGGAAACATGTACTTTGTCGTGCCATTCATTCATTCGTTTATTTATTTTTATTTATTTATTTTTGAACGTGTCCGGTCTTTGTTGCCGCGCGCGGCCTTTCTCTAGTTGTGGCGAGTGGGGGCTACTCTTCGTTGTGGTGTGCAGGCTTCTGATTGCGGTGGCTTCTCTTGTTGCGGAGCACGGGCTCTAGGCGCGTGGGCTTCAGTAGTTACAGTGCGTGGGGCTCAGTAGTTGTGGCTTGCGGGCTCTAGAGCTCAGGCTCAGTAGTTGTGGCGCACGGGCTTAGTTGCTTCACGGCACGTGGGATCTTCCCGGACCAGGACTGGAACCCGTGTCCCCTGCATTGGCAGGCGGATTCTTAACCACTGCACCACCAGAGAAGTCCCCAATTTTTCTTTTTTTTTCTTTTTTATTTTTTTGCGGTACGCGGGCCTCTCACTGTTGTGGCCTCTCCCGCTGCGGAGCACAGGCTCAGCGGCCATGGCTCACAGGCCCAGCCACTCCGTGGCATGTGGGATCCTCCCGGACTGGGGCACAAACCTGTGTCCCCTGCATCAGCGGGCGGACTCTCAACCACTGCGCCACCAGGGAAGCCCCCCAATTTTTTTTCTTAAATTGAGGTATAGCTGATTTACAGTATTAGCTTCCAGTGTATGGCACAGTGATGCAAAATTTATAGAGATTGCACTCCATTTAAAGTTATTATAAAACACTGGCTGTATTCCCTGTACCGTATAATATGTCCTTGTAGCCTATTTATTTTATACATAGTGGTCTGCACCTCTTAACCCCCTACCTCTGTCTTGCTCCTCTTGCTTTCCCTCTCTCCGACTGGTAACCATTAGTTTGTTCTCTATATTTGTGAGTCTGCTTCTGTTTTGTTACATTCATTCATTTGCTTTGTTTTTTAGATTCCACATGTAAGTGATAACATACATTATTTGTCTTTCTCTGACTTACTTCACTTAGCATAATTCCCTCTAGGTTCATCCATGTTGTAGCAAATGGCCTGCAGATTCTTTTTGATTTAAACAGCTTTATTGTGATGCAATTTACATACCAAAAAATCCACCTGTTTAAAGTGTACAATTCAGTGGTTCTTAGTATATTTCCAGAGTTGTACACCCTAATTTTAGAATGGGTTTATTACCCCAAAAAGAAGCTGCATGTCAGTTAGCAAGACATTACCCACCCCCCCAAGCCCCAGGTAACCATTGATCTACTTTTTTGCCTAAGTTGATATAAAAGGTCCTAATCTGGACTTTCACATAAGTGGAGCCATAAATACCCGGCCTCTTGTGACTATTCCACTTTCCGAGTTTCCCGGGCTTAGCCAGTTGTGATCTGTGTCAGCACTTCATTCCTTTTTGTGGCCGATACTGTCCCACTGTAGGGATGCCCCACGCGTTCGTTGTTCATCCACTTGTCAGTTGATGGACGGTTGGGTTGCTTCGCTTTTTGGCCGTTGTGAGTAAGGCTGCGGGGAACACTTGTGTGTTAAGTTTTTGCGTGGACACACTCATTTGTCTTGAGGAGATATGGCGGGAGTTCACTCTGTGTCTAGCACGCTGAGCTCGGCCAGCCTGATTGCCTTTCTCCCTCCCACCAGCGTCTCCCAGGGTGGGGCAGCTGCTCCCTGAGCTGAGGCTTGGAGGCTGTGGAGACGAGTTTTAGCAGAGCTTGTGTGGCCTGCTGGGTGTCGCCAGTGAGGAGATGTCCTTTGGTCCAGCAGAGTGAGGGTTGCGGGAGGGGCCTCAGTGAACCCCAGGCCACAGTGACTGTCTCTCAGCCCCTAGGCTCAGCTGTGAAATCACTGTTTTTAAAAATAATTTTGGCCAAGAATGTCATAAAATGGAAGAGGTAGAAGACTAGTGCAGCACAGGCTGGAATATTTTTTAAATTCCATTTCTGCTGAAATGCAAAGGGGACTTGGGAAAGACATCTCTATCTGTAATTGAGCTCAAGAATTAAAGGGGGATTAGCGAACAGACGAATTCATCCAGCAAATAAATACTAAGCACCTACCGCGTTCCAGTCCCTGTCCTGGATTTTGAGGACACCTTGGTGAGCAAAACAAAGTTCTGGTTTCCCTGGACTTAGTTTTAGAGGGAAGAGAATTGCCAAGTAAACAAACAAAAATGTGATAGTAGTGAGTGCTATGAGGAGAGCAGGGAGAGCACGTGCTCCCGAGGAACCAGAGTTCTGGCAGAAGGGGCACTGGGCCTGCGGGGTGGATGCCCAGTAGAGAAGAGCAGTCAGAGGGCCACCTCGGGCTGGACACGCAGCCAAGAGGCAGCAGGGTTCTCGGAGGGCAGGCTGGGTGGGCGAGCCCCCAAGGGACAGGGCAGGGCCACACACAGGCCCCCGCCTTCGAGGGGGAGGCAGGAAGGGAGAGCGAGAGGTCACCTGTGAGATACATCGAGAGGCGGACCGAGTGACTCCTGCTGACCTTGAGAGGAGCTGGTGGAGGGTGGGCCTGTTTGAGAGGGAGGAAGAGAGGAGGCAGGCTGTGGGGTGCAGGCCCTGAGCGTGGACAGTTCATGAGTGCTTTGCTGCAGAGATCACGTTCCCCAGCAACCCATCACCATGGGCTGCGGACACTGAGGGATCAGCTCCTCCCAACCCCCCCCAGTGCTGACCTTCACCTTAAAGCATTTTTTGTTTGCTTTTACCAAGGAGGCATCTTCTCCGCATCTTGACACACCAGGCGTGACATCTCACTAGCTACAGTTTGGTAATTTGCCAGTTTCCATCTAATAGATTTAGGGAAAAAATAATCGTTCCACTCACGACATCCATTCTAGGTTTGCATCTTGACTGTCCAGACTGACAGCGGTTGGTGCCGAGGGCGGGGCGAGTGGGCGGGCTCTGCCTTGGTGGCACGTGGGCGTCAGAAATGACAGGCCCTGGCCGTGCCGGAGGCCACCGGGATCTGTCCGCAGTGACCACCTCTGCTGCTCGGGAGCCACTGCCCCGGCCCCGCTCCTTCAACGGGGACCGGCTGCGCGGGCCTGGGAGCACAGGGGTCCCACGGGTCGGGGAGCCACCTCCACGTCTTCCTTCCTTTCTTCCTTCCCGCAGGTAAGAACGATGGCTCCATCGGCGGGAAGCAGTACTTCAAGTGCAACCCCGGCTACGGGCTGCTGGTGAGGCCGGGCCGCGTGCGCAGGGCGGCGTGCGCGGGGCGGCGGCGCAGCGCGGGGCTCCGGCCGCAAGGCGCCCCGGAGAGCCGTAGGAGCGGCGCGCTCTCTGGCTCTGCCACCAACCTGGCCTCGCTGACGGCGGCGCTGGCCAAGGCCGAGGGCGCGGCGGGGCGGGCCGAGCGCGCCCCCGGGAACCCGGAGAACCGCAAGTCCTGGGCCAGCTGAGCGGCGGGGTGGCCGCCTCCCGTCCTTCCTGGGCGACGGACAGAGGGCGCGGGGCTCCTCCGAGCCTTTGCGGGGACAGCCCCTGGCGGGCCCTCTAGCCCCTCTCCGTGGGGACAGGCCGGGAATGCTTTCTGCACGTCGCGGGGCTGGTGATCTCTCCCTGTTTCTCCCTCTCCCCAGAGAGTGAGGCGGCGTCACAGCTGGGCCGCGGGTGGAAGGTTCTAGGAGCCCAGCGTGGTCCCGGATTGTGGAGAGCAGGGTTCCGCCGTCTTCCTGGGCCTGGGGCCGCCGCGACTGCGGCCGCTGTTGCTCTTTTTTCTGTGCTGGTGACGCCGTTAACCTCTTAATTTAAAGCATAACCGTTACTCGTGCCTTTCCCTCCCGTGGAGACGGCGCCCCGCACCCCCGTAGCCCCCAGCACCTCTCCCCACCTCAGGTGCCTGGGGCCCTGGGCCTGCCCCCTCCCGCCTTTCCCTCTTCCTTTCCACGGGGTTTCTTAGAGGTTTCTTTGTGGGTCTTCTAGGGTCTTTATACCCAGAAAGTTTTTTCTCTTTGCCATTTATTCCCTTAACAGAGTTCTTGGCATATATTTATTATATTTATTTTTTCAAACTCTGAAATTGTTCGCGAGCCACAATCATTCTCCCGATGTGAGTGCCCAGGGCCTGCCTTGCGCGGCCTGCCTTGCGCGGCCCGCCTCTGTGGCCACTTGGGAGCTGCCAGCCTCCTGCCCCTGGCGGGGGTTCCCGGAGGACGCCGCGCCTCCTCGCGTCCTTTATCGCAGATGCACAGTGGCCTTACTCTAAGCTGACAGTGAAAACCTGGAGAGTTTTGCTGTGCTTCTGCGGCCAGTGACAAAGTCGGCCAGAGGCATCGTGGCCTTGGTGCGGTTTTGGTTCTGGGAGGGTCCTTAGACCAGCTTAGCTCCGTGGCGGTTTTGTGCCTTGACGCCCGCCCAGCCTGGGGCTGCAGCCCGGCAGGCGGAGGGAGAGCTGCCCACCCCGCTGCCGGCGGGGTTTATCCCAGGGAGCCTCGCAGAGCCACGGGCGAGGCTGGCCCGGATGGCGCTGGGGATGGTGTGAATCATCCCAGAGCATCGCCTGGCCCCGCTGGGACAGCCCTGGTCCAGAGCCCTTTCTCCACCGGTGCCTTTGGTATTACCAGGGTGGTGGCCCAGTGACCTGGTGCCCCAGGTCTGTGGCGGGCCACCACTTGTACTCCTTCCTGTCCTCAGCTGGCATTCCGAGGAACACCTGCCGGGCGTGTCCCTGAATTAAGTGCTCCCAACTCTGTACCAGCTCTTCTGCGTAAGCTCCTTGCCAGCACGGAAGCTCTCCTTCAGGCCTGTCTTCAGTGCGAGGTTCTCCTCCGTGGATGCTAGCACCACCCGCTCCCTGGGAGGGCGGCTCTCGCTCCCAGAGCCTCAGGCGACCTGCCTGGTGGGACAGAAAGTCCGCACCAGGCGCATTGGAGAGAAGACGCCATAGAAATGGAAGGTGGCTTGGGCGTTTGTGACCCTCATTTACGGAGCCAAGTACTTGCTGGGGCCCATCTGCCCTGTGACAGGCGTCGCAACCTCACAGACGGGCTTGGGACGGTCGGTCGGGGGATGTGAAGGGTCGGGCTCTTTTCGTTGTCGGTTGAGTTGAAGTGGAAGAGGTGACAGCCCAGTCACTGCCCTGAGCAGGTTTTTGGCCGGAGCTCACGGGCCGGGAGGAGCCCTGTTGTCTGGAGAGGCCTCAGGCGCCCTTCCCCTTCTCCCGGCCTCCCCTACGCCTCCTCCCGGGGCCTGCTTTTCAAACGTCCCCGGTTCCGTCCCCGGTTCCGCCTGCCTGAGAGTGTCCCACCAGCCCTGCCCAGCATCTCTGCCCCCAGGGAAGCAGCGTTTCCTTAGAGGCCTTGACTGCCGGGACTGGGGGCGGTGGCCAGAGCCCGTTGTGTGCAGAGGTGGTGCTTTCTCCAGGGAGGAAAGCACTGTCGCTGCTCTAGAGTCTGTAGCTCCCAGCTTGCCTGGGGTTTTCTCAGAATGAATCGGGTTTGGGCCTGTGCTGGTGGCGTTAGAGAGGCCACGTCGTCCCATCGGCGTTCCTGGTAAGCTGTTCCCGCGGCCAGAGAGCAACACGCGGGCTGCCCTGGGCACCCTCATCTGTCAGCACTGCTGGCAGAAGGCAGCTGCGGGCCCGGCTCTCCTGACCCAGCTCTGGGCCCTGGTTGGCCCGGGACCCTCGAGGGCAGTGAGGCGGCCCCTGGAAGAGCAGAGCAGGGCGTGGGGGCCATGCTGGGTCCTCGCAGGGGTACGGGGCCAGCAGTCCCGACCCCCGCCCTCTGGCTCCATGACCCACACATCCCTTTGGGCCGCTGTGTTGGTGGATGGAGCGGGGCTCTGGGGACGCTCTCGGCCTCTCTCTTGCTGCCTCCAGCTTCCTGGGCAGCTCGGGGCCGGGGACCGTCCTGCTCCCAGGTGGTGAAGGAAGCCTGCCCTGCGTCTTGGTGCAGACTCCCGTTAGCTTGTGAATGGAAGAGCTGCGGTCCCTAAGCCAGGAGCCGGGCAGTCCCCGCACCCTGAGTTATGGGGTGGAGGGGGGAGGGAGGGACTCCCCCTTCCCTGCGTCTTCTGTCCTCGCCTTACTAACACACAGACCTAATTTTAAATAAATGTCAGCATTAGGATCCCTGATGCGGTTCTTAGCAGGTCAGGCTCCGGGATTTAGTAAGACAGCAGGAGCGGCAGCTGCGTGGCGCTGGGGAGGGACCGTCTATCTGTGGCTCCCAGCCGCACGAGGACAGGTCAAGGCTGGGCGGGAGCCCTCCTGGCCTCTGCCTCCTGCTCTGTACACACACAGTCACCCAGCCGGGACCCCAGAGGACTGTGGGAGGCGGTGCGGGTGGCCGGCCAGCGGGTCGGGCCCCTGTGCTCGGTGAGCTGTGAGCGGGCCCCTTGCAGAGGCAGCAAGGCCTAGGAGGTGTTCAGACCCTTATCCCCCCTCCCCCCGCCCCCGTTACTTCCTCCTCTTGGATTAAAGTTCCCTGTCTGTGAAACTGACCAGGAGGCCACGGGTACATATTTTCTCGGCTACAATGAGCCACTTGCCTGAGGCCTGCCTGCTCTCACACGCTGCCAGCTCCCAGGATCACCGCCCCATCTGTCTGCCTGTCGCTCCTCAGATGGACAGACATCTCTCCGGGATGGGTTGTGCGCCTGAGACCCTTGACTGCACTGTCCCCGTTGTCCCCATGTGCACCCTTCTCTCGGAGGAATCCGTCATGCCTCCTGCGTGCTGCTGACTAATCGTGTTGGGAGAGTCTTGGAGCATCTCTGTGCGTGGAGTTCTGTAAATATGACGGGTTCACATAAAGGAGTGATTTTGTTTGGGAGACTGTATTGATTTGCTACACATGAAATGGGAGTTAAGAAAAATCCAAAGACTCTGTAATGAATTGTAAAGACTTAATGATTTGTACTGTATAATGAACTAAACCTCTTTAATTCTGTACCATATATGCCTTTCCGTCACATGACCAACAGCCTCTAAATAAAACCATTTGATCTCCTGCCTACGTCTGGGTCGTCTGGTTGCCTTCCTCTCCCCCACCCTGAGGCAGGGGTGTTTGGGCTCATTCCAGACTGTTCCACAGGCAGCTGTGACATGGTTCTGAGTGATCAGGGTGGGGCTTTTCAGGACTGAGACTAGAAGAGAGAGGTTCAGGGCAGCAGCAGGTCCCCTGAGCACACCTCCACAGCCCAGCGCTCCTTGTGATTTGGCTCCGTGACCAGTGGGTTGAGACCTTTCTCAGGAGCCAAGGACCAACAGAAACTTTTTGATGGCCTTACATTCAAGGTAATCGGAGCTTCTGGGCTACCTAGCCGGGAGACCGCTTCTCTGGAACAGGGGTGTCCCAGCTCTCACGCCTCAGCTCCACTGTCCACCTCGACCTGCACGCTGGGCCCCCTGTCAGACGCCGCAGCTGGGGAACAGAGGACTTCTTTCCACTGCTGCATGGGTGAGTGGACCTCGAAGGTTCTGCAACGAGATGTTTGGGGGAGGAGGATTATGGCTGTGCACACCGGCGGTCCAGTCCCCGCAGGCTGTGAAGCCCGATAGCATTTGTTGGGCCCTGCTTGCCCCTGAGGCCAACATCCTGAGTACGTGGCACCCAGCTGTAGCCCAGCGTGGGCTTGAACCAGTGCCGGGGAGAGAAGCAGCCCTCCCGAGATGGCCTGCACCGTCCTGCTCACGGTCCAGGAGTCCAGCCCACAGCCGCGAGGACGCAGTCGGCCCAGTGCGCTGGTGGCCCTGCATCGGTGAATCACTCCGCCTGCGCCTGCTATAAAAGGTACTTGCAAACGTAGGGCTGCAGCCACGGGGAGGGCTGATTAGAGGTGGCCGCCAGTCAGAGCACGTCTTGGCGGGACTTGTTTGTATTCCTAAGTGCCCGAGACTTGTTCTCAGAGATAAGCACTGCCGAATAATGACAGAAATTTGGCAGCCAGGAGCTGTCCTGCTCTGAGGCAAGAGTCTCAGATTGATTTAGCTCCTAGGGTAAATCGTATTTTTCGAGCCGCTACTTACTGTCTTGCAACTCAATGAGATCTCCTTTGCACGAGGCTGTGGGGTTTTCACGGTTGCTCAGACCCCAAAATGGGCGCTAGTGGGTATGTCACATTTAGTTCATTCACTCTCTCGCTACTGGGTCCCTCGGAACATGTGTGCGCCGTCCTGCACCGGGCCTGGTGTCGCTGGACAAGTCCCACGGTCGCAGAACCTCGAGCGTGGCGCCCATAAGAGGGGCTCCAGAGCTTTGGGGGTTGAGGAGGTGACCTCCAGGCAAGTGTGTTTGGAGAACTCGCAGACGAGGCGCGGGGGTGGTGGTGCTCTGGGGGCAGGTGGGCCCTGAAGGACAGAACCAGAAGGAGCAGTTCTGGCCCCAGTAGAGGGGCACGGGGGGGGGGGGGGGGGATGGTCCTCGGCATCCCCATCCCCCGAAAACCCGCCCATCTACGTTGGCAACTTAGGGTTTGAGGGCAGCTTAAAGTTTTGCAGAGTCTTTTCTAGTTACGCATAATGAGAAAACAGACTGCGTCTCTGAGAAGGGGTCGTTGAACCTATCCTAGCCTGTCGGGTGAAAGGGGAGCTTTGGCACCCGATCCTTCAGTCCTGCTCAAGAATTTGCTCCCAACCATTAGACGCCTTACACAAATTACAAAGCTTCAGCTTTCTTTCATATTGTGTTTTTACTGCTAAAGGTGAAGCCCCAGGAAGGATGGCTCTTCTAGGAAAATGAGGTGCTCGGGGCATGGCCTGAGGTGGGAGTTCACGGCTCAGCAAAGTCCAAGGGTGTGGTCCTCGTGGAAGAGAAGCTTCCAGCATCCCAGTGGTTTTAGGATGTGGGAGGATGGTGCCTGTAGTGAGGGGATCACGGGCGGGGAAGCTACGCAAAGAGATGGCTTCTCCCGGGGGATTCGGGGCAGACATGAAGGGAGCACAGGCTGGAGGAGAAGGGGCCGGATTCACGGCTGACGTTCCCTCAACCAGGAAGTGCTTGATTGTCCCCTTAACCCCTTTCAAGTGTCCTCGGGTCTCTGGGGCACCAGTCCATTTTCAAAGCATGAAAGGACAGATGCTCAGAAGTGGCAGGGCACTTCCCAAATGACTGTTCTTAAAGAAATCCCGACCAGTCTTCGTTCAGTTACACATTTTATTCTCTAATAGGTACAATACTGAAATAAACACAAATTAAAAAAAAGTTGTATTAAAACAAAACTGTACAAAAAAGCAGTATACTACATTTTAATTACAGAACAGTCTACTGTCCAAAAGGCACTAATCCAGAATAGGAGATACAATGATACAGGACTCATTGGAACTATTTTAATCAATACAATAGAGCACTTGTTTCTTTGACCATTTACATCTAGAAACAAGGGCTGTTTGCTACAGTCATTACACAATGTTATAAATATGAGTCCCACAGGTGAAGGTGCAGTATCGCTCTCCCTAGAGAAGGTTCACGTCACGAGGGACTGTCTTGGGGCTGAGAGGTGGGTGGGCAGCAGAGGCAGTCCCAGGCCAGGGCCTCTGGACGCCTTTGTGGTGGGAGGGCCGGCCGTCCCGGGCACGCGGAGCTTGTCCTCCGGCCCGGCCTGTCCGGTGGGCGGTTTCTGGCCATTGCTGGCAGCCACGCTACCCCCTCTTGGGTGTTAGCACCGGCGGAAGGTGGGTTCTGAGACCCTCCAGGTTAACTGGGGCTGGAGGCCTGGGGGATGAAGCGCCAGCAGCTCGGCAGAGGGGAGGCGTTTTGTAACCTGATCTGAAAAAGGCAGCGACCACTTGGAAGAGGGGTGGGGAGCTCAGGGCCAGTGAGCAGGGCAGCACTGCCAGGCACAGCCCCCTGCTGCTTTCCGGGCAGGCTCCTGGCCCAGAGATGAGAGGCCCTGTCCCTCACTTCCAAGAGGTCCCACGTCCCCTCCCAGTGGCTGGTGGGGCGTCTGCGTTAGTTCTGACAGTCTGTTTGTTTGGAAGCTGATGTCTAGAAACGGGATTTTTGCTTCCCTGCACCCTCCCTCAGTCCCACCTTAGGGCCTCAAGTGGCTCCCGGGCAGCCTGGGCCACTGTCCCGTGTTCGGTGGCCAGGACAATTCTCTCCACCCCACATTTCATTCTCTCATGGACTCTGCCCCTAAGGAAGAGAGATACTGCAGCTTTCCAAACAGTGTCATTACACGTAAGACGAAGACAGGCATCTGATGTTAACAAAAATAAGTAACAAAGAAATAGGATTAAACCAAATCTCTTCTCACAGCATCCTATACTACATCCTCCTTCTGCTTAGCAGAAAATTGTACGTACACAAAAATACAAATACACAATTTTGTAGAACAGTCTGATTTTAATATATTTATATATATTTATATTTATACGAGTGGCAGGTTAGTTCATTATATAGAGCTTTTTGCACTTTTGGCTCATATGCAACAAGGCTTATAAATTCAGCTTTAGCTTTCATTCAGGTTTTATAGCTTTTGAACAAGTGTTTTCACATTTAAAGCAGCATCCAATTTGCACTAGGAGTTTGTGGTGATAGAGGAAAAGATGGGGTCAGGAGGTTACTGACAGGAAGGCGGGCTGGGGCCGGGGCAGATATACATTCCAGTGTGTGTGGCGACGTCGGAAGGATTGCTGTGGGACAGAGTTGACCATGATGACCCCTTGAGGTAGACTGAACACCTTACAGCAGACTCAGACACAGGTGTGACTCCCCTCAGGGACACATGGTGCACAAGATGGGGACAGAGACCCGGAGACACCAAAGGGAAACACAAAGACTAAGACACGACGGCGAAGGCAGGGGGAACGCTCTGCCCCGACCCCCCCTCCCCCGCCTGCCCGCAGGGGCCCCACTCAGCCCGTCGCAGGTACGCCAGTATTTGGCGGATGCTAAAGACTTTCCGGCAGACCCGAGGCACCCCTGGCATCTGATCAAATGACCCCCGTCAACTCGCCTTACAGTTTAAACTCGCTGCGCCAGCGAGTTCCCACCCTACGACGGACACCCAGGGAGACGGAGCCGCATGGGGTTCCACGGCGGGAACCATCCCCCAGCGCCCCCGCTCCAGGTGAGCCCCCGGTCCAGGTGATCGGAGAGAAACCCGCCTCTCCTCTCCTCTCCCCTCCCCCAGTTCAGCCTCGCGCCAACCTTGCTCACACTCTTCAACTACAACACGGGGAGCCGACAAGCGCCGTGGAACCTGTGGCCCGGCGCCTGGAGCGCCGAGGGTCTGCTCGGGGCTCGGCTCACGGGGGCAGCGGCTCCACGGCAGCCTCACAGGCCACCTCCACGGCGGTGCTCGCCCACCCCATCGCTTCCATCTACCGCCCCCCTTGGCCACCCAGCTCAGTCCCTCTGGCAAACGCCGTACATGTTAAATGGGAATGCCCAGTGTATGGGTTACTCCACTGTCCGGAGAAAAATGCTGGATTCATAATGAAAATAAAGTGCCTGGGTATGGATTGTTCCATTCTGCAAAACCCTTCTAACGCACCAGCCAGTCATCCGAGCGCTGCTGGGTGCCACGATGTCGACAGTGCGGCCACAGAAGAACCCTCCTCATCCGCCCACCACGTGATCAAGGCCCCGAGTTTAGGTCAGACTTAAAGTACTTTAAAAAAGAAGCAAACAAATAATCTCACACTCGTTTTCAAAGATGCACTTCTGATCTTGTTTCACCCCCTACCGATGACGGCCTTTCTGGGCCCTTGTGGGCAGACACCCTGATCCCTCAAATCCAGGAAGAGAGGACGAGGACAGGCAGCCAGGGTTCAGTGACCGATGACGGCAAATGAATAATCCTGTTTATAGCTCTGATTGACTCTTTGCCTCTTGGGTCTGGACGCACCTTCTGGCGGCTGTCAGAGACACCCGGGCTTCTGCTCCGAGGCTGTCTCGCTCTCCCGCTTGCTCGCTCGGCAGCTGCGGACTTCGCTAAGCAGGCTCCTACAGTCTCTGGGACCAGGACCGGGACCCTGTCCACAGAAACGCCCGTGAAACAGCAGCACAGGGGAGAGCGACAGCCCGCGTGCTCACCCCTGCAGTTGTTCTGCCTGCGGAACCCGGGGACCCTGGTGAGGGGCAGCCACCATGGCCACCCACCCCAAGGGCCAGGGGCAGGGTTGGGGAGGGAGGGCAGGGCACAGGCCGACTCTCTGGCGGGTCCCAGAGGTCTGTAACTTGTGTAGGCACTTAAAAAACAGAAAGAGAAATTCATCCTCGGAAGGTGCTGCATACCCAGCGTGACCACGGCCTTGGGAGGGAGGGGAGCCCACGGGGGATCAGAGAAGGCTGTGGGCTCTTCCAGGGGAGGCGGCTGTGATGCTCTCGGCATCTTCTGGCGGGGACAGCGGCCCCCCTTGCGGCCTGGGTGAACCGGCAGAGGCCTCTGTCCTTCTAGCTTGGGCAGAGCAGGAGGGACAGATGGGGCGGAGAGCACGCGCGGGGTGCCCGGGTGGCCAGCTCTAGGCTCGCAGCCGCTGGGCTGGGGGTGAGGCTCGGGCTGCACGGACTGGCTTCCTACCGTCAGTGCGAGAGAAACTACTAGGAAGAGAAGAGGCCCCTGTGAGAGGAGGGTTCTGGGAACCGAGCGCAATCAAGAGCAGCCCTGCCAGAGCTGCCAGTGCAGGCAGAGAGCTCTTGCCCCGCCCCCAGTACCTTTGGTTTCCGTTCGTGGTGCCCATTTTCAGAGATGAATGATTAAGGGGTTCACTAACTAACAATACTGAATGTGGTTTCCAAGGCAAATGATAACTAACGATAATGCTCCTGACAGGAGCCCGCAGCCCAGCTCCCTCACCTTCATTCGGTCCACTCCTAACGTACGTACTGCCCTGCCCCCCGTGAATCTGGCATAAAAACAAGAGTTCAGGGTAATATCACTAGAGTGGCTGCTGTTTACATTAATACAGCACTAATGGCGTTCTCTTTCCAGTTTAATAGCTTCAGTGAATGATGAAGTGGAAGGATAAGCGTCACAACTTCATGCTGGGCTCTTAGTTCCAGTAAAGCAAAAGGAGAGGTTTCCGTGTTCAAAGGAAGCCAGAAATCAGACTGAGATTAGACCTGACCTGGAGGGAGTGGGAAGTTACGGAGAGAACAGGTGTCCTGGGACCAGCTCTGCGTGCACACTGGCTGGTGAGTCACGTGCGCCTTCCCCGGGAAGAGCCCACACCTCCCTTCTGAAGTTTCAGTGCCCCCAGCTGCCACCAGAGATTCCAAATCGGGATCAGCTCCTCAGTGGAAAGCACACGTGCCTTCTTCCCTTCCCTTTAAGGGTGGGTTTATTTGGTGGGGTGAGCGGAGTGGATAACCAAAACCCCCCACGAGCCGGCTAATGAAACAAGGTGCCTATTACAAGGGCCACCAATCCCCAGTGGTCAACATGGGGACCCTCTCCCAGGGCCACTCCCAGCGAGGCCTTGCTCCTGGGGCGGTTCCCGCTCTTGGGCTTCAAGGATGCTTAGGGCACGACTAAGCGGTCGGAAGAGAGAGAAGCGACAGAGCCGGCCCCTGCAGAACCACCTATTGAGAGGTAAAGAGCTGGAGAATGGGAGGGAGGCGCATGGATTTTTAGTTAGCTGAGTCCTCAGGTCAGCTTAGAGCCCGTGTCCCTGACAACAGTCACTGAGCCGCCATACCAACCCCAAGGCAGCTCGCCCCTGAGCTGGACTGTGGTTACCAGAAAGTTCTTACGCCGAGCCAGAGAGCCCACGGCGGGGCAGACACTGATCCAACACTGGCATTCCAGAGCCTCCAATCTCCAAAGCACTGGCCCAGCCCCACCGCCTCTCGTGATTGTGACGGAAGGGACAGTGGACTGAGTTGGAATGGCTTAGCGAAACTTCCAAACACAGGCACTGAAAAAATGCTCCAAGAGCTGAATAGAGAGAGAACAGGAAGAGTGAGCTTTTAATATTCTCTGCTTCCGCTTAGTGCAACTACCCCCAAGCAATGCTAGGATATTCGAGTTCCCCTCAGAACTCAGACTGTGACAGCCAAGATCTTCTATCCCAGCAAAAGGCAAGACCTTCCCATTCACCTCCTAGAGGCAGAGATGGGGACAGGGGACTTGAAACAAGAGGTTTTGCATCACAGCTGCCAAGCCTCACTGAGTTTCTGTCACCATGAATAACAGGAGAAAGGCCAAGGAGGAAGGATGCCCTGGTGTCTAGATCATCACAGTGACACTGGTCCAGTGTCGGCACAGAAATGATGGCGGGGCAACAGTGCACCAGGGGGGAATCATCCGGCAATGCCCAAGAGAAAAAGGAACAGGTTAAGTACAGAGATTTCACTCAGCAGGGCCAGGCAGACATCCTGTTAATGTTCTACCAGGATGAGAAAAGTGACTGGAGATTTTACTTGACTTCATTTAGGGGGTACTGCTCAGTATGGTCTGTGAATCTTCAAGAATCAATGAGACAGTGAAAACACTCAGCACAGTGCTGGGCACACAGGACAAGCTAGCAAGTGTCAGCGGCTACTTCGAGCTTCGAATGCTTGGGGGGTATGATGATTTAGAATGACGGCATCTTTACTCTGGTTACTTCTGGTGTTTTCTTCCAAAAAAATACATATTTCAGGGGTAAGCACTACCTGTATTTTCACTGATTTGGGTAAGCTGGCTTTCTTTTCTTTTTAGCGGGGCTGTGGGTGGTAAAGGAATATGTGGTGAAGGGTTTTCTGAGTCACCAAAGTGGCCTGTGGAAACATCTGGGGAGGGAAACGTCTGGCCAACTCCAGTTCTTTTTACGTAGCACCATCCTTTAAGCAGCACATCTAATACTTTGATCCCTAAAGGAGTAGATTGTGTTTGAAGGTTTTAACTGCAGTGATAATTCTATTTTCTTTGAATGTAAGCAGATAATCAGAATGTTCTTCTGCTGGCTGAAGGCATGTCTCACAAATCACAGAATTATACTCATCTAGTCAGTTTTCAGAATCGCTAATCTTAAGGCAGATTCTCGATTCTAATGGAGATAGTTATCTTTCAGCAGTTGGGAAAATAAGCAAAGGGATGGGATACTGTAGTCTTCGGGGTCATAAATCCACAACCATTCCAGCTGTCAGATGACCAATAGGATCCCATAAAGAAGTCCCAATGACTGCACGTCTATCTTGAAAGCAGGTGGCGTGCAGGAGTCGGGGTTAAGTCACTTTTAGATCTTGTGGGAAAAGCAGCACTGAGTAAAAACCCTTTATGGCATTATTTTTCCTGTTCTAGCACAACTACTATACATTTGACTGCAAGTATTTTGAGGGGGAAAAAAAAGAATCTCAAGGCAGAACCTTTATATCCAAATTCCGTGTGTGTGTGTGTGTGTGTGTGTGTGTGTGTGTGTGTGTGTACTGGGGGCTAAAGGGAGAGAACAGTTAGAAAGCAGCAGCCTACCTCAGCATTTTTATGAAACTGAAGTTTAATGTTTGGGTTAGGATTCCCTCTTGATATGTGGAGAGGGGAGAAGATGGGTGAAAGGGTAAGCAGGAAAGTATGAACAAAAGCAAGAGCTGTATTTTTCTTTAGCGGCTGCCACCTGACCCTGGAGTGTCCAGGCCTGAACAAAGGGCTCAGGGGCCAGGCTCACCAGCACAGCCAGGAACCTCAGGGACTGAAACGGCTTGTGAAGGGCCACTTGGCACTATGTTGGGTGCTGGTATTTGTGTAGACTCACTCTTGATCATATAACTGAAGTGACGGGAAAAACCAAACAAGGCATATTCTAGAGAAAGGCTAGATAGTGACGCAGCAGCTCCCGTCCAGCCTGAGGCCAGGGTGAGAACACGGGCTTTGTGGGCAGGCCGTGTATGGTGTCAAGACAACATGGTGCTCCATGGGACAAGGTGGATGGAAAAGAAAAAAAAAGTGGGAGGGAGAGAACATGGATGTGGAAGGGCCAAGGGGGGGCAAGCCCACTGACACAGCAGAACAATGGGGAAAACTCAGGGTAACCAAAGGCTGCTGACATGAGGAAGCTGGCAACTACCAGAGATGTGAGCAAACCTGGGTGAAATTCACACGTGTCCTTCTCCACCAGTAACGTTAGGGCATTGCAAACAACAGTATTCCACTTACGCCGCAAAGTTCTCTACAGACCATACGTTTTAGTTTATTCATCTGTGTTCGTGTCTTGTCTTCTGCTCTAGCTCAGGAAAAGCCTATCTAACTCAAGTGTAAGCTCCTGTTTGAAAAACACTTCCTGATGGTGACGGCAATGGAAATATCAAGCGACCAAGGGAAAATGTGAATTCTAGGGAGCTCGTGAAGCAGGAAACATCAGGTAAGGCCCACACACGACCCTGGCTGGTTGGCATGTGGGACAGAGTCCTCTGGGGGCCTCATCAGTGGGTGACTCAGTTTGGGGTTCTGACTGTAGTTTCTGCCATAGATGGAGCAGGTTGAAACTGGATGTGAGCGACAGGTTTCATGTGACTTAGTCTAATGGGGAGCAGTAATCAAAGGCTTCCATTCTGAAGCTGAAATAACTCCAAATCCTTCTCTTTCACTTAGGAGAGGACGCGAACACTATGTCATTATTTTAGTTTACTGAGTTGCTGTTCCAAATGTTCTCGGGAGCATTAGTGCTAAAAGGGAACAGGGAATGGGAGAGCTGCCATTTTCAATCACATAAAGGACGGAAATCCTTTTAATTATGACCATGCCAATCTACATCTTGCTGTTAAAACAGCTAATTACATGTCAGGAGGACACTCAGTCATTCAGAACAATTGTCGTTATATTTTTATATATTCATTCTGTGCCACCCCCCTCAATCGCCATGGTTACAATTTGAAAGGATTCAGGCAAACCTTCATTTGCTCACAGCACACCAACGTGAATCTGAGAGTTAATTATGGCTGTATAGAGCCATTTTTATTTGAGAGAGACAGAGAATGAAAATGGAGTCACGGGGGCCGGCGTCCCGAGGTGGTGTGAAGCGCCCGTGGAGCCGTGCACACTCGCCCGCGCCCAGGCCGGCTCACACGCCACTGCTGCCCCCGCACCCACCGGAGGGCACAGCGCTGCCGTCCGGACGGGGGCAAGATGGCTCCGTAACTGCCCAGGAAAAGGGATGTCAGGAGGGAAGCGCAAAGGCCCCCCGCAGAGGCGTCCTTCCGCTTGTTGTGCGGGAGCTGCGGCTAATGAGAGAACGGGTGTGAGACGTGTGTGGGAAACTGCAGGGTGTAAAAATGCTAGTTAGTTAGATTTTGCTTGAATGGAATGAACCAGATTTAGTTCTGCTCACTGCCTGGCCCCAGGTGTCACAGGAGGAATGACAAAAATGAAGCCCAGGATAGGCGTACCTGGAATCCCAAGGCGCCTACCACGTCCTCGAGGTCTTCGGGTGACAATAAGAAGGGGATGCAAGATCCCCGCGTGCAGCCAGATTTTCCCTCCCCTCCCTCCCATGTTTATTCCCCTCTTGATTTGAAAAGAAAACCATTGTTACAGGAAACTAGATTTCTCAAGATCGTTAGCTTTCCTTTTGCTGCTGTTTCTCATCCCCACTAAGGAAGAATAATGAAGCTGGTATGGAAACTTCTCAATTTATAAGCTTCCAGCGATTAGTGAGTCAACCATCGACCCTCTAAGACGGCAAGAGTAGTAGCTTATCACTTTTAGCCTGTGAGAATTAAGACCAGCCTTTTGTATAACCTGTCTGTGAGAGGGGTTTCTGTGACTGGAAATGGACTTATGGGCTTGATGTGTTTAAAAAGCCTTTCCCACCACGTTAGTGCGGCAGTTCTCTTGAGAGCAGTAAGGAAATCTTTCCTCTTAAGTGATTATCATCTTTTGAAAAGAAGACCCTATCATGAAGGCAACCAAAGTACAGAAAAAGAAAGGGCCCCTGCTTTGACAGCACACCACCGTTAGGGCAATCCTTCCAGGATAACCTGGGCATTCACGGTTGCCTCCCGGGGAAAACCTCCCATTCTCATTATGGTGCGATACCTTTAAACTGGGTAATTTAGGTATTACCAGGTAATGGCAACCAGACAATATGGAGATTAAGAAACAGAAGAGGGTTTCCAGGGCATGCAGCTCAGTCTGCCAAATTCAATATGGCTAACAACTGATCCCCCAATCCTGAGTAAACATCCTCGTTATTTAGAGAGCACACAGAAAGGAATGTCTTACGCAGCTCCTAGCCCTGCCCCGCTGCACCCCCCCACCCCACCCCTGTGCCCCGCAGAGATACCACCAGCGGGAGCTGGTCAATGTGCCCAACGTTCACTTGGGAAATCTTGACAAACAAACGCGGCTCAGTAAAGCTATAAATGGATTTGGCTGGTCTCAACGCAGCCCCAGTGAATACACTAGTAAAACATTACTAATAATCACAACAACAAAATGACAAACTCTATCACCACTCTGACGTAAGATTTAAATCACACACGGTGATTAACACAGAAAACCAACGCACGAGTAGAGGGTCAGGACTATTGAATGTAGAGAGCTACTGCGCACAAGGTCATCAATAAGAAGAAAAATTATTGCCTAAGAATCTGTTGAGACTCATTGGGGAAAAAAATACTCTGGTGGTTCTCTGAACAACAACAGAAAGAGATAAACAGCAATTTTAAAAGGCAGAGCCACGAGTTAAATGGGAAGACTGCTTCTACCCAAACCCTTCTTAAGACCAAAGAGAGAGAAGGACTTGACGTTCACATTTTAAGGACGGGGGTGGGGTATCATTTATGAAAAAGGGATTATTTCCACTGTTGTGGGCAGAGAGAGTAGCTGGTCAGCGGAATATGTAGCTGGTCAAAAAGCTGGCCTGCAAGACAGGAAGGGGTGTTTGTGTGAAGAGATGGACCACACCCACCTAACTCTGCCTACTGCAGAGGATAAAAAAATTCCAGCAAGGAGTCAGCTCAAGATGAGACCTTGGTTTGGAGCCCAGAGGAAAAGAGAAGAGGAGTTGTTCACAGACAGACAGGATGTGACTGTAGATTCCTGATGAAATGAAAGTCTATTTACTTACACTTGGTGCCTGATGGTTGAAATCCAAGAGGGAAGTGTGTAAAGACAGAGGCCAAACAGGGAGAACGAAAGCAGCTGTATCACTAGCTCTTCACGAGTCGTCCCTTTTGAGGTAAAGGTGCTGTTCGTCAGCAACTACTGCCATGATAAACCTACAGGACGCGGGGGCTGGGTTTGCATCCTCCCATACTGAGGGGCTGCTCCCTCCCTCACGTCCTTTTAGGTGATCACCGCGCCTGAGCTGAAAGGGGTCTTCCTGTTCGAGGATCTCTCTTTCTGTGAAGGACTGCGAGACGTGGGGGAGAGCCCACCCACCGAACGACAACATGTGGGAACTCTACAGACTCTGCAGGCGGGAGGAGGCCACCCAAAGTACTGAGACTTGAAGAAAACTGCCTTAAGGGGTGCTCCGGCCTTACAGGCTTTGCTGAAACAAACCACAATGTCTATTTGGTACTGACGGGTCCTGGAAGATCGCAGATCAGAGTGTACCGTGTAGCCCTCCCTGGCCTTCACCTGCTGTTACGATTCTCAAGAGATGGGCAGAAATGGCATTAGGATGGTCCATCTTTAAAGGGTCCCTTTGTAAGGCTGTGTTTTAAGAAGGCTAGGAAATTTACCCATGTGACCATAGTATAATTCAATGAAAGTGTCTTAAAAGAATAACAGACAAGTTACCTGAACTGCTTGCAAGGTTTCCCCACCTGACACGTTTAGTCTTCCTCACCTGGGAAGGAGCAGCCCCTGAAAGAGTCCTCGGGGGCCTGAAAAAAGTACAGCAGGAAGTGAGAAAAGAGGACAGAAAAACCGAAAAGCACACAATGGGATGCTTTAAGAGCCTGGCTATTTTCCCTTCAGTAAGAGAGCAGTTTAGGGTTTCTATTTTAATACCACCTCTTAAGCCTGAAAAAGCTTAAGAAAAAAATTTACTCCCCAAAGATATTACAGATTAGACAGTGGCAACTCCATATGCCACTGTAAGAACTAAGGTAGCCCGGAGAAGACAGCAGAGTTAAACCTGATGACAAACAAAAAACCAATGGTAGATTTAAATCGAGGCCCCAAAGAACTAAATTTTCACTTCTGGAGAAAAAGCAGAAGTTGTATGTAAGGCAGTAGATGTTAGAGCAGACTGGCAGTCTTCTTTAATCAAAGAACTCCGCGTGCAGGGCTCCTTCCTCCAGTTCCTACTGAACCCAAGGCAATGCTGCCCCGCACTGGCAGACACATTCTTTCACTTTTCCCAGATTTCCAGGTAAGCACCTGGTACTGCCTTCATGGATACTCTCCTTTACTCTTTGAAGCTTTCTTTCCTTCCTTAAAGGTCTTAAATCAATGAAACCTTTTAGCTCTTCTCTGGCAATCACCCTGTTTCTTTAGAAACTGCGGGTGCCTTTATAGTTTGAGTCTGTTTCTTTAAAAGGACCAGCAAGAACAAATGATACTAGCAATCCCATCTTAAAGAAGCTATCAATTATAATAATCTCCTTACAATAAATCATGGATGTGGCTTGTCAGTATATTTTTCTCTCTCCTTTTCTTTCTGATTCAACTGAAAATAAGCAGACAAAATTCCACCGAAATGGAAAGATATGTTGTATTTTTTCTAAATAATATCAAAGGAAAGAAAGATAACACAGTCTTCTAATAGAAATAAAAAGTCAAACACACCGAGAAAGAAAATGAGTGGGGGGATCGATCATTCCTGAGAATAACAAATGCTACTCTTGAATTCGTTGGTTCAAGTAATATAGTTAAACAGAAAAGGCTACTCCATTTTACTTCAATTCTTGGAAGCTGGAAAAAAATATGTACATTTTCCCCCTGAAATCCAAGGACAAGAGCAGGCCCAGGCCCTGCCTGTAGCTCTATAAAGTCACAGACCCACAGAAGGTGGCACCTTCATGCCTCTCAAAGGCTTCCTCACACTGACATGAGCAGGATGAACAGACAGTGGAGGTGCTCTCACCAGCGTGTGCCTTAGGTGGAGTGAGACCAGCTAGAGCTGGCGGATGTTCAAACTCACTGCTGAGGAAAGGAGAAATGAAGGCGGCCAGTCGTTCTCTCTCTCAATGGTTTTAAGTTGAAAACATTTGGTGGGGGAGGAAGGGTGAAGAGGTAAGGAAATGGCACCCTCCTTCAATTTTAGAATCACTTTCAGGCAATGGATAAACACATGACGCCCTGCTTAGCAGCCAGGCCCATATTCCCCTTTAAACGAGGCTTCGTTGTCTGTAGGAAGGAGAGAGGGAACGAGGCAGGAAATAGAGAGCAGCTGTGCCTCTTTCAGACGCACCCTCCGCTGCTACACTGAAGGCTGTCTCCTCTTACCCACAGTGACAGTGTGTCCTTTAATCGGGATGCCAAGAGATTTTCATACAAGGCCAGCAGATGTGATTTTTCTTGGACGCATGAATAGTTCATCATTTTGCTACTGGACGACAAGGTGATCACAGGGTGACTTTATAACTCAAGTTCACTGTTTGGTATTTTGAGTTCTCAAAATGAAAAAAAGATTTATCAAATATAAATATCTTTAAAAAGTAACAAAAGTGCTACATATGTGATCAAGGAAAAAAATTCCATTAGTTACTGCCGCTTAAAGTAGATTAAACTTTACAAATATTACCACATCCATTATCAATATGGCTTCCAATTATTAAATAAATTGCCTGTAGCAATATAGCTTTTCACACCTCTACAAGGACACAGTAAAGAGAACACCAAAGCAGTCACATCCTGTTGTATCTCGCAGACCCACCACATAAGTGGCAAACGTCCCCTGCTTCTTTTCTGCTCCTAGTTGGGAAAGTATTTGCGTTTGTGAGAGTCAGTCAGCATAATCCCGCTATAAAGTCCTCTATCAACCTCTCATGTTGAGGGGGCTTCAGTTAATGGATACAAAGACTGGAAGTTCATTCACTTACTTTTGACCTTAGCTCCATCCTCGAAATGCCTTTTTTTGGTAGCAGGGAAAGGGGACACAGACAGGAGGCAAAGCAGCTTCCATGACGACCTCCAGCACCTTTCCAGGCCGGCATGTACCTGTGCCACGTACTGTATAGTGGTTCTGAGAACTGGACCTAACATCCATTAGACCTTCAGCTCATGTTTTTTCCCAGTGCTCTCAAGCTGGGCTTTGTTTTTTTTAAATGACTTTTGTTTTTTGTCATTTTTCTGTTTGTTTGTTTGTTTTAATCATGGTCCCAAAGGCAGAGGCAGTATTTTATCTACTTAAGTCACACAGCTTGTGAGAGGAAAGGATGTCTGTGTCAGGCATGTTAACATCAACCAAAATCTGAGATCGAGTGTTTCCACTGACATTCTTAGCACAGCACCCAAAGAAGTATAATCTAGCCACAGTGTGACTATTATGAGGCACGGCTTATTGCAGCTGGAAATCAATTCTTCCCACACTGAGGTGGGGGTTCTAGTGTCCCTTTTACTCTGTGGGTACTCCCCAAATGGCGTCTGTCCATCCTGGGCCACACTACCTCAGCTTGCATCCTACCAGTCTTGGGGAAGGAAAAGGGGTACAGACTAGTGTTACAGGAATCTAAAGGTACCCAATACACACAGCCTAATATTTGAGAACTGAGGGCTATCTAAATACCTGGAAGCACTTTCTTGGAATGCTAAGACAGAGCAGCAAGATTTTCTAGCCTCGGGGTCTGGGAGAGGGAAGGTAGGTTGGTTGGTTGGTTGGTTGGTTGGTTGGTTATTACGTACTGGGAATTAATACTGAGAGTATATGCAAAGGCTGAGGGCACCATGCCATCTTCACAGAACAAGACCCTAACGGCTAACTGACATACAAGAAACTGCAAGTTATACTGTAAGAACACATGTTAAGGACCGAGGAAAGTCTGCTAAGGTGCTACGTCTAAACTAAGTTAACTTCTCGTGTCCAATCCTCCCTCATCAGTCGTCATCCAGGGCCTCTGTCTTGATTTCGTTGGCTCCTTGTCGGGCCAATGCCAAGATAGTGTGGTTGACTGCTGCCATTTCCACAGCTAATGAGATGGGGTCTTGGTGGTCACTATGGCTAGTGCTGTCGTCCTAGATGTGCAGAGATAAGAAACAAATGTTATTAGTGCACTGGTAAAATTCTCTAGCTCACAGAAAGGCATGCTGCGGGCAAGGGGAGGCAGAACATTCGTGGGAGAAAACAGAGTTGGGGGCGTCATGATAGAATAGAGGTGAAATGTATTTAAGTAGACACTGAATGGATATAGGTCCAGAGACTTCTGGTTGGCATTTTTATGATTCAACAAATAAAAAGCACTAAAATGTTTTTTTCTTGCTGAGAATTTTTTCCTTCTATCAGAAAGATTGCTGGGGATGATGATCAAACCTGGACCATTCCAAGTTTGCAACAAATACAGCACTAGTTACTGAAGGCCAAACTAGTGAGCTTAAATTCTGGATTGGTGCTCTTACAAACAGATTATCAGAATTCATAGTATCTCTCTACTCAACTGAGAAAACTAGACAAAAGTACAGACACCAACACCTTTCGGATAAAAATGCATTTTTGTAAAAAACAAACCAAGCCCCCGCCCCCCCCAACCCCAAACTCTCAACTAGAACAGGACAAAAGTGTAACTGCTGGAAATGGCTTCGTGAGAAAATGTCGCCTGGCACTCTCCCACTGTAAGGGAGCCGGGCAAGGGAAGTGCAGGTGTCTTACTTGGAGGGAGTGTGAAGCTCGCCCTCCGCAATGCCGATGTGTTAAACAATACAGCTGTGGCGGAAGCTGGCACTGCAGGATGTTCGTCAGGCGCTGAAGATGGTGTTTCACACAAGGGGTAAGTTTCTCACCTGTCACATCTTCAGGGGAGCTCTGCATCGAAAAGCTTTGGAAAAGGGTGAGTCCCTTTGGGCGAAAAATAGCATGGCATGTGTTGCCCTTAGGGCATCTGGGAGAAAAAGTGGAAGTGATCCACCTACACTGGTAGACTAAAAACTAACAGAAATGTTTCCACTTAGACTCACAGAACATTCTCTTGAGTGAAACATCGAGCGCTGACTTGGAGTCCTCAGGGGGAAATTCTGTGCTCATTCGCGCAGGCTGGCCTTTAGTTTAAGTAGGGATCAGCATGGAACTGCTGGTACCCTGGCAGTGTCTATGCTCAAGCCGGTAAACAGGGGCTGCAAAGCGGTCGGCAGAAGGCCACAGTGGACTCTATTAAAAGAGCTGGCCGAGGGGCAAGGTAAAGGTGTACATCAAATAGGAAGGAGCAGATGTTTTCCTGCTGGGGCCTAGGAGAAGAGACCGTACATTCTCTTCATATTCCAAATGGAATGAGTTTAAAATCCTATAAAAAATGTAATGAACTCTGTCAACAGATATGTGGGGGGAAAATTCCCACATTCTTAGTTACCGAATTATACCATCCAGTGGCTACAATTAAATATATTTTCCCCCTAAGCAGTGAAGAGTAAGTCAGGGTGAGGTGGGCAGACATGCATTTATGAGAGGGTGTGTGTGTCCATGTGCCAGAGACTCTGGAGGAACCACTATCTCGGCACGAGGGTTCCCACGGCAACGGGGCCAAAGTGGGTGGGCCCTTCTACTGTGTGCTGGTCCGAACGTGTCCAGGCAGGGTCACAGCTGCCCGCAGCCCCTAGTGTCTCTCGGACAGTGAGTGTGTGTGTGGTGGACGGTGGAACTTGCTTGTTTGGATCAGATCCTCCTCTCTTCTTCTACCTTCTCTGCTTCTCTGCCTCCCTCTGAACTTCTTCCCTCCTCCTCCTCCCCATTGCGTACTTGCCAAGTATCCTGTTATATGACAATAAATCCATGTGGGTGAATAACGATTTCTCACAAATTCACTTTCAAATTACACGAAAATCTAACTAGACACAGGAGCCGAGTGGAGGGACATTCGCTTGCCTCCCCTCCCCCACCCCATACAAAACGCACCCACGGAATTGTCACACAGTCCCACCCACCCTGTATCCGGCAGCCTCCCCTCCGCTGCTCACCTGCTCTGAGTAGTCATTTCCGTCGACGTCATCACTGTTGGAATGGCCTCCGGGACTCTGTACATCTATCCCATGACTCTCCAGGATTGCTGCTTCTTCGAAAAAAGCAAATAGATCCCTAAATTATCTGTTACATCGCCATCATGGTCTAAACACTGAATTTGTATTGAGGAAATTAGAATGTAATTAAACAAAAACCTAGACTCCTCTCTAAGTTTTGTTTCTTTTAAATTGCAGACAGATGGAACTCGGCGGCACAGAGGTCAGGGGAGGAACACGTTTCCCATTCTGGAGCCCCTGCTGCTATGCGTGTACATTTGAGTGGCTGACTGTTAGGTGCTTCATAAATACTTACCAACTAATTAAACAGCTCTCCTGTCTTGGGGTTCTATAAAGCACTTGAGAATTGTAACGATGAAGGGGAAGGAAGTACGTTTATAAATGAAACACAATTTTAGAAGCTCAAAACCACCCCTCCACCCCAATCTCATCAATTCATGTTTCTTAAATGCTCTCTCTTTAAAAAAAAAAATAAATATCTCGCCTTTTACTAGGTTCCTTGTATATTAAGACTCTTTTATTCCAATTTTATTAATCACATGTTTCTTAACATCTAGGTCATATAGCTCAGTAGTAATGAAGACGCTAAGGGTATCACACTCCCTCTCTCAAGCCCTTACAAGTAACTTTAATATGCACCCCAGGAGTAACTGATCAGAGACATTCTAGATTCTAGCATATTGAGAACAATGAGTTTCAGAAATAATGCCATTCTTATTACAATACAAATAGTGTAATTAATATTAACTTTGCATTATTAAAACTACAATGAAGAAAAACGTAAGGGCAAGCAAGTCTCATTAGGCTTAAGAGGTAGGATCATTTAGACCTGCAGCTCTAAACGGAAGTCACTCTTAAAATAAACGCAACGTCCATAATTGCCTCAAAAGAGACAGCAGCCTCTCTGATACATTACCGATATTGGCTCTCCTCTTGATCTCCTTCCGTCTGTTAGCAAACCAATTATATACTTTCAGGGAGGTAACTCGTTCCAGATCTGACAGTTTTTTGCCTGTGAATGCATGCAATAAAATTCAGATAATCTATATCTCAGACTAGTTTTAAGGGTTACTACTTTTCTTTTTAAAAATGTTCTTTTGATTGCATTTCTTGCCAGAATAACAGATGTAGAAGTAATATTTTTTAGCATGAGCTAGTACTATGTACAGACTCAGTTACTGAATGAATAAACATATAAATAAACATACAAATAGCAACTAATAACACAAAATGCTTGAATTCAGAAAACCACACAATATTAGGGAATTCCAATATTACTACATTAAAGAATTCGGTCCACTAGGGGTTCAAAGTTCACATGATTGTATATGAAGGCTTCATTTGATCAGCATCATTCTAGATGAATATGTTATTCTTTATCAAGTTTCCAGATAGCTGAAGTTTATTTACATCTTTAAGGCCTTATATTACCTAGTTTCCTGCTGTCTTAAGACAGAGAATACTATCCATGTTTTCTTGAAGATTAAGATCACTATGACCAGCCATAACTGTAACTATGCTGGAACACATAGCACAATTCAAACTGTATTTTAAATGTATTATCTTCTTTGCTGTCACATGTGACGTTTTATGGATAGCACCATGTTTACCAACATGGCAACCACCTTGTACCTTTCCCTCCTCCCTTATTCAGCTTTTAATCCACACTGGGTGGAGAAACCAGAAAACAGGTTAGGCCCTTGATGGTAAGGGGGTGAAGTATTTTCCACGAAGAGTTTGAGTTCCAGCACACCTTTAGGGCTGGGACTTTTTGGCTTGTGTAAAATAAGGGTACAGGTATCATTGTAGCTGAGCTTGTATGTTTTAGATTATTAAAAGTCTGGCTTCTAACTAAGGGGGAGGATAAATTAGTATTTAATTATTATAAAACAGTTACATTTTTGTGTTGATATATATAGCCTTTAAGCCAATCCAAGTAACTGGCCAAATGGAGATCAACTGGATCATCTTAACTGAGAATGGTTTCTGGTAAAAAAAAAAAAAAAAAACCCTGTAAAACATGAAAGAGCACTTTAGCACTTGGAAGGAAAGATGTATGAGTGCTTCAGGGGTTCTGTGGACTTGCATAGGAACAACAGGACTTCAGAATGGAATTACCCTACATTTTTTCCCACCTAAGAAGTCATCCTGATGTAGGAAGGAGAAAGAAGCCAACTCCAAAAAATGCTTTCTTCAAGCAGGAATACAGACTTATACAATTTTCAACAGTTGTAAAAACACCAAAAAAAACCCACACACCCTATCTTAATAATTTCATTAACTAACCTTGCTTAAGTATACCAGACTTTAAAACTATTTTGAAATTGGCATATTTATGCTGTATTTTTGGAAAAAGAAATCTACACAGTCTTCACAAAAAATAATTTCGAGGTTGCGTATCTCAAGCAAGGACACTCGCTGGGAATTCCCACATGAAGTTTGATTTGGAGTAGCGTGATCACCCCCTAAGAAGCACTGTTTGAACAGGACAGGGGAGTGGCCATCCACAGGAGGATGGCAGGAATGGAGCCAAGAGCACCCCGTTGGGAGAGGAAGAGACTTAGGTCCCAAATGATGACCTGAGCTGAGAGCTCCAGCAGAGCCAAGCAGCACTTGCTACCTTACCTGGCTTCTGTATAACTGCGTTGCAAGCATTTGCAATTTCTTCTCTCTTTGCTTCATCTGGGTATTGATTCTCATTGAAGTAACTGCAGAGGCAACCAATTAAGACACAAAGTTTGTACTTTTAAAAACTGTGCTCTCCTTAAAACGCCAGCCCACCGAAAAAGATGTTCTTCTTTAGGATGTAACATTAGAGCGTTTGGTCCAGCCTGTCCAATGGAATTTTCTGTGAGGATGGAAACGGTCTGTTCTGTACTGTCCAACAGAGTGGCCACTACTCACATGTGGCTGCTGAGCATGTGAAACGAAGCTGATGTGGTTGAGGAAGGGAATGTTTAATTTGATTTAATTTTAGTAAATTTAAATTTAAGTAGCTACATGTGACTAGTGGCTTCTATATTGGATAGTACAGGTCTGGCCACTGCTAGGCTTCATTAAGAGATGTTCTTGAAAAAAAAAGTTACTTGTGATATGGGTGGCTGGTTGAAATCACAGAGTTCTGTTATTAAGGCACTGGTAACAATAGGACTCTCTTTGCGTGTCACGTTCGTAGCAGCAAAAGTTGGAAATTACCCAACTGTCCCATCAGTAGGAGAATGACAGAACAAATTGTGGGACATCTATATTTATACATAGCTATTTAAAAATTACTAGAAAAACTATCCACTGGCCTGGATAGATGTTTATGACACAGTCCTAAGTGCGAAAAACAATCTGTAGAATAATGTGCATGTAAAAGTACTGTTAAGAAATTTGAAAAATTCCTGTCTATGTGTACTTAAATTTGCATGGATAAAAGCTGGAAGGGTACACATCAAGCTGGATTACCTCCTTGTGGGAGAAGGGGATTCGTAGGAGGAAATTTAAACATTTCTAAATTTGTTTTTGCCTTTTCCCCTATGTTAAAAAAGCATATATTGCTTCTATACAATAGTACTTAAAGAAATTAGGCTTACTGAACCCATCCCTAGCATTATCAGATCTGTGAGACTATATGTGGGAACAGAATGCTTATTAGTACTACCTGTTCTGTCATCTATGAGTTTAAAAAAAAAAAAAAAAAAGTGGACTTCCTTGGTGGCGCAGTGGTTAAGAATCTGCCTGCCAGTGCAGGGGACAAGGGTTCGAGCCCTGGTCCAGGAAGTTCCCACGTGCCGCAGAGCAACTAAGCCTGCGATCCACAATTACTGAAGCCCGCGCGCCTAGAGCCCGTGCTCCGCAACGAGAAGCCACCGTAATAAGAAGCCCACACACCGCAACAAAGAGTAGCCCCCACTCGCCGCAACTAGAGAAAGCCCGCATGCAGCAACGAAGACCCAATGCAGCCAAAAATAAAATATAAATAAATAAATAAATAAAAGACAAAAAAGAAAAAGGGACTTTCTGTGCTTTGAACCTGGAAACTTAAGATCAGGAAATGATTCCTTGTTAAATTCTAGTACCTCTCATCTCCTCAGGGGCTTCCCTTCCCCCAGAAAGCAGCTTTCCCATTCCTTCACCCTCTGTCTGCACTGGTGAAAATGCCATTCTACTGGGAATAAACACTGGAGGCCCCTAACCCTTCCTGTGAATCCCCAAACCCGCCTTCTGCAATGCCACTCCCTTCCCCTGAGGCCCTCTCCATGAGACCATCCTTCACTGTAGTCCTGACACAGCAGCTGCCATCACCAAACAGCCTTTCCTTTTCTAAAATATAAGCGATAGAACTATATCATCCAGTCTTGTCAACTACCACCCTCCACAAATGGTCTGCTGAAGTCCAAGCTTTAAGCATCTCTTCCCACGTGACATTCTGCTATCATTTTTAGGGCTTCCGTGTTCATACTGAGAGTTCTTCCAATCTCTGCTCCACTTCCACATTCCTACTGACCTTTATCTTTACTCCATTTCTGCTATTTACTTGGGCAAAGACACTATGGATTAGTTTCCATTAACCAGCATCACGGGCATCACCTGGCAGCTTGTTAGAAAGGCAGAATCCCAGACCCCACTTCACACTAAATCAGAATCCGAATGTTAACAAGATCTCCAGGTGATTCGAATGCACATTAGTGTTTGAGAAGCACTGGATTAGCTCATTCATTTAAAATTCAACAACAAAGACAACAAAAGCAGATATTAAGTACCTAATGTTATATGCATCCACTGTGGGTAAAGAAGAGAATTAGTTTCTGACTTCAAGGAGTTTATAATCTACTGAAGACACATATAAATCAATACACTTGTGATAAAATTCCATAGGATGTCTGAACAGAGCAGAGTTCACACAGACGAAGGTGTGCTCAGTGTTGCTGAATGACCTGGCAGAGGAAGTGCCGTCTGAGTTAGGTCTTGAAGATGAACAGGAGTTTGCAAGGCAGAGGAGAAAAGGAAGAACATTTCATGCAAGGGAAAGAGCATGAGCAAAGGCAAAAGGTAGATAAAAGCCTTGAGGATTCTGGGCACAGAGAAGAGTTCAGTGTGGTTAGAATATGGGGAAGAAATGAGGAGACACCAGTCTGGAAGAGTAGGATGGGGCCAGCCTGTGATAAGCCCTGCCTGTTCTATGAGTAGTAGAGACTTCACCCTGAAATAGAGGTTTTCAGGCCACACAGAGATATACTCCCATCTGTGTTTGAGAATGATAACATATCTTCAATACTCAACCCTATGATCTGAAATTCTGAAATTCCCCAATCAACCTTCTACTCACCTACTCCACCTCTCCAAAATAATTTTTTCTTCACCTTCTTTATAATCTCGAATCCTTTAAAACCCTACTCCAACTTTAAAAATCTGTTCATCTGTTACTCTTCTTCTGGCCTCACCTCTCATTTCTCAGCCTGAACTCCATGGCAAGCCGAATCAACTGTATCTCTTAGGAGAAATTCTGATTATTCAGCTTTTCTGTCCTTCCACCATACCTATCCAGCCAATCTCCCACCCTGCAGAAAGCACCTTCCTCTTGTTTTCTTCCATCCTTCTCGCAGGGTACCAAGTGTTCCTGGACAAAGTCATAAAATAGGGCCAATTGGTTTCTTTATACATCTGTGCTTTTCAACCTTAACTGGGCCCCTCATTTCTGTTGGGAATGCTTTTTGTCCTTCTAGCCAACTGTCTTTAATACTCCATCTTTAGTGCCCCACTTACCCGAAACCTTTCCACTCTGAAGTCCCAAGCCCTCAAACCCACTACCGTCATTCTTTTCGCAGATGCCCTTGCCTCCTCTTTTACCAAGATGGAGGTTATTAAATATGGGTTTGCTTAGTGTTTTTAGCTTCTCAAGTTCTACACATCTCTGAGCCACTGCACATTCTTCTCTTCGTCTCATGGCAGAGGAAGATGCATGCTCCTCTTCAAGGTCTACTTCTCCACTTGTGCCTTTGATCTCATCACCCCCACCCTCCCTCTTTCATTTTCTCAACTCTCTCCTTTCTTTCTTGCATACCCCTTCTTTTCCCTGTGCCCATGCAATTTACTCTATTTCACTGATTTTATGATGCACATTTCCTCATTATTATAATCTCTAAAATCAGGTACATCTTATAATTGGTGGTGTCTGAAAATTAACTGGCAGTGTCCTCCCTCCACCCACGCCCACCCCAGTACATAAACTAAAGGTGTGTCATACAGTCAAAGCCTTCTTAGGTTTGATGGAATACGGTAGCTGCTAAGACCTAGAGCTCCCGTTTCAGCTACAGCTCAATTGCTACTACTACACCTCATTGTGGTAACTCCTCTTCCAAATTACTGCAAAGCCTGTGACCGACACTCTACTCCCTCTAATGTCTGATTAATATTCCTAATGTACATCTCTAGTCATGCCACTATTCTGTTCAAAAGTTTTTCAAGATTTATTATAGAGGTGTTTAGAGTTCTCCCCCAAACTACCTTTGCATCTTTATCTGCTGCTACTCTCATACAGGCATGCTACAGTCTAGGAAAACGGAATAGCCTTGTCAACCCCCTGCATCTCTGTGCCTTTCTCCTACCAGTATATGTTTTTTGCCTCCCTGCCCCCAAACCATCTTGTCTGTCTTTCACAGCATTGCTCAAATATCACCTCAAAGGTAAATAATTTCCTTACCCCATGAATCCCACAGCATTTCATCTGTTCCTCTCTTACACCTTTTTCATCTTGTATTACAGTTATCACTGTACACCTCTCTGACTACACTGAAAACCACCTGAGGCCAGGGTGCCAAGTCTGACTCATCCCCACATGCACTCCTCATTGATGATATGCGCTCCTCAGTAACAATGGAAAAGTCCCCACCAGCCCAGTGTAGGGGCCTCCAAAAGAAATGGATGTCACTGTAAATGAACTGTTGACCATCAAGGGTGTAGAGTTACTGCAACAGGGTCTTGAAGGGTACATACTAAACTGTTACAAGTGATGATTATCTCCTGGGAGCAAGAATGCTGGGGGCGGTGGGTAGAAGAGAGGGAAGTATTGGTGGTAATTAAGATCGGTTTTCACATTCTGCTTTGTATACTTCTCTGTTGAATTTCTGAAATGAACATATGCTATTTTCATAAATTTCTTTTTAATAAAAGAACTTTGGGAAAACATTCAGACAATTAAGGACTAGTTTACTGATTAATATAACTCCATAAACAATTTATGTTTGGAAAGTATATCTGGATCGGCTAGAAAATATTAGGTTTGTGATTGCCATTCTAGTGACTAACAGAATAAAACCGTAGTATTTCTGGAAGTTAAATAAGAATTGGCAGTAATTCGTGGCATATATGATTAATGAGTTTAAAAGTTTTTAAAAATCTTATTTAATTTGTATTTTTAGGATTTAACTATATAAAATAAAGTCAGAATAAAAATAAATTGGTAACATCTTCTAAATTAAAGACTCAAGAATATAATTCACTAACTATAGTTCTAAATCTCTAAGCCTGGCAATTAATACTTTCTTTTCTGTTAAAGACCTATTATTTTTATAATTAAGAAATGTAGGCCTATTGAATATTTCAATTTTCATTAAAATGTGCTACCACAGCTGGAGGTGTGTACACTGGGCTGTGAGCACCACTTTTCATCTTTTTGTAATGTTTCAATGTTTAAAAAATATTAATTAAATATCGATAGTAT